AGGAGCGAGTGCGTTTATTTAAGTTCAATCACGTTTATTGGAAATGATTTAGCTGCAGTGTAAATATTTAATGTTATTAGTTTTATTTCCGTTTCGTTACTAGCGTCCCGCTTACATTATATAATACAATATAATAAGTTCAGTCCGTTTAATTCATCGGCTAGCAAAATATTATCGATCGGATAAGGACGGCAAAGTGCAAAAGTGTCAAACAAAATTCAGGAACTAATAGTATCCATCCCTAAGATTAATTTAGTCTACAATGCACATGTTCATATTGATATTAGGTACGGTTTATTACAAAATAAAATAATATAATATCCAAAATATTGTATTGTAAATATTTGTGTATCAGTTCATAAGAAAATGAATCGTTGAGAATGCTCATCCAATTGGAGTTGTATACTCTCTCAGCAAAACTACGTAAAAACGTAAAAATTCGATTAATCTCATAGCTAAATATTTGAGAAACTATGCAATCGATAAACAATTATCGGTCGCAATAATGACATTTATTTAACAAGTCGTTGTGTAATGGTATTCAATAAACACTTTCATCATAGTAATCGTACCTACCGTAAGTAACCTGCACGCCTATAAAAGTTGAAACACACTAATCGATCGTCGGCAGTAATATCGGTAATAATATTATTCATTACATTGATAAACGCTTTTAAAAGTGGTAACGCACAACGGATACTGTATTTGTTCGTAATTATTATAAGTTTTTTTTTTTTTTTTTTCTTAAACTAACGAGAAAAAAAAAAAAAAAACAAGGTAAAAATCTACGGGACCGCGGACCACCGATGTTCCGCGGACCGCCGGACGGAAAACACTGGTATATACTATGTATCACACGTGTATTTTATACGGCATCTCGTCCGAAATAACATCAATCGAATTTCCTCGTATTGTTATTCGTTAATCGGCAAACAATAAAGGACGCGGACACAATATAACATGTAAATATGTAAATCATATTATACTACACGCATTTATTATACACTCATCGGAATAGTGTACCTACACCGCGCGAAATGGGATAGCGTTTACTGAACCGTCGAAACTGTTTTTGTAAACTATACGCTGTACTATAATATTACACTCTGATACACTCTGGGAAAGCGCATTCGGGGTGTTAAAAAATTGACCGACTCATCTAATATGCGGTCACAGCGCGGGACCCGCAGCATCACGCACTAGGCACTACATTACGTATCAGTTGATAACCGCCTGAACTGCCGCCGTAGTATTTTCAGTTTTTTATTTTTTCGCTACTTTAGCGCGGTGGTGTTTCGTCCGGTTTCGTCTCGCAACATTTATAATTTATTTTCTATTTCCGCGAACATGTACGAACACTGCTGCTGCTACCGGCTGCCATCACCGTGCTCATATAGGTATGCAATCGATCCGTATAAAAGCGAACGCTGCAATTTGAAACCAATAAATATTACAGTAGGCGCAGTTAGTGGCCCATAAATGAATAGCTGCAACGTGTATATTTTAACATTTTTATAGTATTGACTTTGTTGTTGGCCATTCATAAGAATGATATATTATATTAATTCCATAACGTTGTCGGAGCTCAACTACCTCGACATTTTTATAACAGTATTATGCTGATTCCTCTCTAATAATATATTATGGCAGAGCACCAGACGTCGCGAATAGAAGTGGTTGAGAGCAGGAGCACCGGTAATTTTCCGGTGAGCCCTTCTCGTGTAGGCCTTGATTTATACACGTTTTTCTAATCCGATTTCTTTAAATTACCTATTGTAGCTTTGCGATCCTTAGGTTGGTAGGTAGGCAGACTGCTACCTAGACTGAATGTTTATGGTTTATGTTTATAAGTAGGCCATATTTAATAATTCTCCGGTACAAAAATAGAACCCGATTGAGGGTAGTGAACCTAGTGGTGATATATGAGTACTACAAAAATAATTCGAAATTACCAAATTTTCGTTCTAATAAAATATGGTTTATGAATCCACTACTTAGATGGAGTTCTTCTACATTACATTGAATTGTTTAAACAATTACCCTTTTATAAAAAAAAAAACTATTTATAAAATATAATACAAGTTTATGTTTGTTTATACTCCTGTCGAGCGTTTATTTTTTATTTGTTGGTTTTGTGCACTCGCCCAGTAAATTAAATTAATCGGACAAAATGTTTGGAAAATTAATTTTTCTTAAGGGGAACCAAGATTTAATTAATAACAATAACTTTTAGTTTAAAACTAATTATAAACAAATTGTATATTTTATTTATTATTATGTTTATATGTATTAACTATTGACGTATAGGTACTGTATTAGTATAAGTATTAATGTGTTTGGGCGGTGATTGGACTGGCCGCACACTGACATTATATTGTAAACAAACTGACTGACGACAGAGAATTATAATAAATGCCTATTATAATTACGTCATGTTATTATGATAGATTCTCTATTCAATCTTCATCTAAACCTTCAGAAAACTGTTTCATCTCATGCGTAATTCCATTTCTATCGACCACCAACACACTTCTTCAACAAACGGATTTCATCATTCCAATAATTTATTTTATTTTATCCCCCCCCTTCTAGGTTTCCGAGTGTTTACGCCTCACTAAAAATTTAATTGTATTGAACATAAAAAGTTGTACTTACACAAATTATTTCAAATTTCACTATCATGCGATTGCAACAGTATTCATTAATAACAAATACAATTTTAATTAAAACTAATGCAAAAAAAAAAAAAAAGTTTTCTATATTAGTAAATGCATAACAAAAAATCATAATTAATTATGTCCTATAATTTGTGTACATTTAAGATTATTATAAAGTATAAATTATTATTTTAAAATAATTTTTTTTTGTTTTATGCATAGGTAACCAAATATTTTATATTTGTTATACATAATAAAATTAGTACAAAATAGGGAGTTTTAGTGAAAGCACTTCTATCTTATCCCTGGTCTTTATTCCTATATTCCTATCACAAGCCTTTCTTGCGTCTGCAAATTCCTTTGCTACAATTTGTTCTGTTTTTAAAGTTCCTTGTTTTGAAGTAAAATGAAACAAGTCTATCAAAATGTTCAGCAATCGATATACATTGAACATTCATTCAATTTTTTCTATTATCTACTTGTATATAATATTTAATTTTGTTTTATACTTTTATTATTGAATGTTAAGTGCAGGTAAGTACCTATTATATTATATTTATAATACTTAAAGACATGAAAAAAAAAAAAAAATGATATTTAGAATTATTATAAAGTAACTGATTTTTTATTCTGTACATAGATAGCGTTAAGTACACAGATTTTACCGTTTGAAAACATTTTAGGTCCACTCGTTTGATTTTCGTTTCCAGTCCTGTGTATTTGAGTTTGTAGTTTTTTGAAGTACAGATAAGATAATGCATGTTCTGCTGTTATTCTATGTAATTCTTATACAGTATAAATTAAATGTGATGCAAGAGTCGATACTTTTAAGGAGCTTAAAGAAAAATTGAACGGTCAGATTGGAGAATTAGAGTCGTGAACCAACCTTCGAGTTGAAAAAAAAAATATATATATATATTTATAAAATTTCCAGATAATTTATAATTCACCTAAGTATTATGGCACTATGCGTAACTTGTTCAACGATTATGTAAAAATTAGCTTATTATGTGTAAATAAAAAAGAAATATACAGGTGAATTTTATTTCTCGGCAATATCATAATATAATGTATAATGCATCATACGTGTCAATAGAAACTTGATATTAATAATAACATTTTCGGGATATTAATAAAAAGCTATACCTAAGATGTGACATAGTATAACATACTGTTTAGGTTTCTAAATGTGACCTCATGTTTAACGTGCAAACATCTATTTGATATCAATAGGAAAATTTGAAATGACGTGGTTCATACTCCAAAAATATAACAACTATGTAATGCCGTTATCAGTGTTGAATCCAGATAATTTTGCTAGGGGGGGGGCATTACCTTTTTTATTTGCTCATCTACTCTTTTACTAAGACGAGTCAAATTTGTTTAATCATTTAGTTAATTATTAATTTACCTACATTTAACGGGGGGAGGGGGGAGTAAATAAAATAACAGTGAGACTATCGCCCTCCCTGATTCAACACTTGTCGTTATGAGTCTTATATAAGTTCGCCGATAACTTATTAAAATAATAGTGTTTCCGAAATGTGTATAATAATGAATAGGTTAGGTATAAGTTATACAAATATTAGTTATTACCGTCTATTTTGATATGTCACATTTATGTTAAAGTATGATGAGTAAGGATCGTTGTCTTTTTACGATTATTATTATTTTTTTTTTTTAAGATAATAATTATCGTTGAACATAAGAGTAACTATGTATTGATTTTATTCATATTAATAATTACACGGTAAAAAAGTTAAAAGGCTCCAACTGGCAACTGGAGATCCACACGTACATTTACTTGTTAATCACTAGTTTGCCTTATTTTGTATCCATATCGTGTGGTTGCAGGAAGCAATGGACGATAGTCAGGTTATTGGCTGTTGGTTGGCTTATATCTTCTGTGGAAGAATAATGTTAGTGCGGGGTGGTCAGGAAAGGGCAGCCATCATACACCCACAACAACCTAGACATTGGTAATATATGATGACTAAGACAAATAACCTCCACGATGTTACGATTTTAATTTTAATTTATATTTTATAAGATAACTATAACCAGTTACCTATATTGTAAGTTTACAATGTTTATAATATCATACGAAATAAATAAATACAATTAATTACTAAGTTAATAAAAATAAAAATTAGTATTTTTCGATTTTTAAATAAACCAATATATTTATCTGCATATTCCAATTGTTATTTTTTTTTTTTTTTTTTTTTACATCTTAACTTCATAAAATTTGTCATAGAAACAAGAAAATAAAATAAATATTACTAATTTTAAATTTCGTTTCTCTTATTTTTAAATACAAAAATTGAGAAAACAAAATTTAAAATGACAAGTCGTTTTGAATGTATACCGAGAAAAATAAAGAGGATAACGTCTCACAAGGATGATAACTTGGAATCTAGAATTCAACAGACTTATAATTTTTATCGAACGATTATCCATCCTTCAATTTTAAGGCTAAACAATGAAAAAGGTTATAAGCAATTACCTGCTAAAATTGTTATCTACCATGTTTACCAATATTAAAACTTTAAAAATTAAAATGCATGATTTATTTCAGAGAAGCTCAATTATGCATTGTGGTTAAGTCGATTAGACAACGAGAGACATAAAGAAAGACAAATACATTTTATCAAAATCGTATTCATATCGTTGAAAAGAAATCATCCATTTTATATATTTTTAAATCCTCCACCCGAAGATTTAACTGAATTAAATTTGGGTGATGAAAATACGGTAATAATTTACAACTTACATACATTCCTATAATATATATGTATAACTTATACATAAATATTGTATTTTTTTTATTATCATTATGAAATCCATAATCGAGTTGATCTTTTTTAAAAGTAGTATTCTTTTATTCTTAGGTGGAAACGATTGAAATACTACACAATAGCGATACGAAATATAGTCTTTTAAACGATGAAACAATACTACAAAAAACGAAATTCAAACGCTTTGCTGCCGTCGCTACAGATATGAATTCGTATGCCACGGTTAAAATATCAAAATATCTAGCGCAATCGTTCTACGTAATGTCCGATTTTCCAATTAATATCTGGTACAACCCAACAAATATCGCGACACCGAATAACCTTGATCATAATGACTGGGAACTGTTTTTGAATCATTTTGATATAGTGTCTAAGTTAGACGATTTTTAATTATAAATTGGTAATTGTATTTATTCAATTAATATAATGGTTTGATTTGTTTTAGGGGTAAAACTGCAATCAAACATCAAAATAAGTAATTAAAAAAAAAAAAAATAAATAATAAATGCAATATAATTTTTTATCAGTATTTTAATTGTTAGTATTCGTTGTTTTCAGTTGTGAAGACATAATGAAATTAGACCAAGTATCAAAAGAAGGTGCCAATAGTTTTGTTTGGCATCCACACAGTGTGCTGAAAGACTGTCACAGACCAAAACGTTCAGCAGGATTCGATGAAATTGATGTGTTAGTAATTTTCACATTGTTATTTTACTTAGGTTTAAGAGATATCACCACTTTTTTGTTTGTTTGTTTCGAACGTTATACAACATATGTATTCCATATTTCCACACTCAACAAATGCAACTCCTTTGTTGAATTAAAGGCAAAGGGATCTATTAAACATTTTGTAAAAAAGAGTATTAACTATGCGTTGACCGAATCATTTTTTATCGAACTTTCTCCGACAGAGACTATTGCACTCTATTGGGTCAGTTGTACATTATGATCAATCCACGATAAAACACTCGGAAAGTATCTATATTATTTTCGGGGGTTCATTTTTGGACAATTTCTGTCATAAGTAGTGTCAAAATGTTATATTACCGTTTTTTTTGTCATTTTTATGTTTCGGACTGAAATCGCTATCCATTTTCAATTTTAAAAAACTCCATAGGTAAATCAGGGTTTAGTTTAAATAAATTTTGACGTTGAAATTTATCATTTCCGTCATCCCATTGACGATATATTCTGTTTTTAAATTTAGGCAGGGGAAGAGTAGTGAAGCGTAATATACCTGGCAGCATCGTATGCGACATTTAAAAATATACATTTTTTAAAGTAGTTCAACTATAGGGAACTCACGTCCTATGTCATCTACACGAAAAACGTATATACCATTACTGTTTGTTCACGTCATATGTTATCTATAATATTCCATCCGGAATTTAAAATGTCAACAAAAAATATAAAATTAAGTTATATTTTCGATAGAAATTTCGACATTTTGCAAACGAATGGACATGGCCGTAGGTATAGTCACGCATACCGAGGTTTAATTTTAAATTTGAAACACTAATTTTATTACACCAGTATCGGGTCTTGATCTGCAGGTTTATATTAAACTAAACGAAGTTGGCTCGAGTTGGCCAGCGAATACGGCAGAACATTGTAGCGAGTGGACGTCAATAACTCTGAAAACTTTAAGAACCATAATATTGTCCAAAATTTCGTGTATTATAGACATTTATAATTACGCGAGAATATCTTATTATACACAGAAACGGCTCCAGAGATTTGGTTTGGGGGGGGGGGCTAAATCATATTTTTCAGAAAATATTCCATAGTATAAATAGTAAATATCTCTAATTACACAGTTTTACGGCGTCCGTAATAGTCGATAATACAATGTTTTATTTTATTATTTTTAAGTTTTTTCACAAAAATGTGAGTTTGGAAGTACCACGGTCCCTAGGGCCTCTCTATAGCCGCCCTAGACGATACAGATGTCGTCTATGACGCAGATAACACAATCAACGTTCGTGTAAAAAACGTATGAAGCGAGTTCAAATTATTGTAGTATAGTAGTGTATTATTTATTATGATAATTCGTTATTTATTGTTTTGTTAAGAATTTCTACATTATTAAAAGACTGACAAACTTTACACAATGGGTGGGCAACTGTTGTTGGTGAGAAGTTAAGATGGTGGGATATAGAGGGGAATTTAATAGTTTAATTTATATCTGTATGCAACAATTAAAAGTTCCTAACGAAAAACGATTCTGAGCGGAGTTCGGTTATACATGTTTTAAAAAAGCGTAATATTTACAATTGCCGTCAAAATTGCATATTAAAATTCTTAAAATAATTTTACATTACACACAAAGTTTTTTTTTTTTACCACAGAGTACGACTTATAATGAACCACCTGTTTTTGTCAAACAGGAATTATTATACCACTTCAAATATAGAATGTATATTATTGTGTATTTAATAAATAATCAGTAATAGGTAGGTACTTGGTTAAGCTAGATGTCAGCTATTATCATTTGTATGTTTATACATTTTTTATTCCGAGTTAGTAAAACCAAATAATAAAAATTGTATTTTTTCTTAATTAGAATACAAAAGTATAATATTTACTTTAAATTTGAAATAAATTAAGAATTACTCTATCAGATCCTATTTCATAAATTCCAGAAGTACATAATATTATGTTTATCTTTTATTTTTAGAAACATATCAAATCAACAACTCACCCAACAACAAATTGACGAATCCGCATTTAGTATTGTACACAAGAAAACATTTCCTGGTTATAAGATACTTAATCCTAGAATTTATTCTACTACACTTATGCCAAACCCAGAATTTGTTTTTAACACGACTGGCGTAAAAATTACTTACAACAAAACGCCTAGAATTTTAAACAAAAATGATCAAAAAGTCCAAGACGAAAAGAGCGCTTGTTTTCCACTTAAGCAACAAAAGAGTGAAAGCAGCTGTGGAAACAACGATGACAAAACAAATATAAAATCAGTATGTAATAGATCTACACAAAATTCAAATAATTGTCAAAAATCATCTATTAATACTACCCAAGCACAAACGCCAAGAGTTAAAGCAGGAAACAGTTCCGATTTGGAACTTAACAAGACGTATACTTGTAACTTATCACATGGCAATGGCCCTTCTTTCAGTTTAAAGCTATTAAGCAAAAGTTTAGATTCTGAAAATAGCAGAATGAAACACAAGCTAAGAAATGTATCGTGTCACAATAAACAATGCCAAGAGGGCAAACATTTGAATCAAACAAATAATAACCAACCAACAGTAGAAAACGATCAAAGTAATGTATCAAATTCACATAGTTCATTATTGAATGATAGTTCGAATTACGAATGGACAATGTCTAGTAATGAAATGTCAATGGATCAAAATACTGTACCGATTGACACTGGTACAAATAGAAGTCCACATCATCAATCTCATCAAACACGTAGAATGCCAATGGAAAACCAAAACGACCAACTTTCTAATGTTAGATCTAGTAATCAAAATTCGAGAAAAAATAAGAAATGTCATAACGACGAGCATCATACTTATCATGAACATGGGGAACAAAAATCTCGCCACAATAAAACAAATGTATCGTCACATTTAAACCGAACACAAAATAAAGAATGTAGAAACGGTAGTAACAGGAGTAATAATACAAGTCAACATCACAAGATAAGACCTAGAAGTAGTTCTGTACCCAGTTATTCTAATAGAGCATACAAAAATGGTGATGCTAAAACAGAGAAGCCACTCTATGAAAACAAAAACAATTCACGTCCACCTTATGAAGAGTCAAACAAAAATAAAATTAGCAATATATCTAACGACAATATGAATAAGTCAGTGATGCCAAATTTGAATTGCAAAAGAAACGACACAATGTGTAGCCCAAGATACTACGATAGCTGGGATATAGATGTCGGTAATTATTCCGAGTTTTTAGAAAATTGTAAATCCAGAACACAAGATCAATCAATGCAATGCAGATCTTCATTAAATAAGACATCGAATTTTCAAAGTGTATTGTCAGAATCGTTCGAAAGCACAAGTTCCAGTGACTGGTCTGAAACCTCCAAGTGTGACGCGTTGAACTCCTACAATAGTTCCGATTCTCTTTCAACATTGACTACTACGGGTTCGAGCTCTGATGAAGATCATCAGCCAAATCGTCCCCCCATTTATCCAATTAGATCAGATTATCGTCAAGATTTAACTCCAGATTTAAATCGTTTCAATGGTACTAGACGGCTTGATGGTATAAATTTTGATAAAAGGTTTAACGAATCTACGAGTATGGATTCTGAAGGTTATGATTTCACAAACGAGGGAATTTCATGTCCGTTTGATAACACACAACATCTTGATAGTCCAAACTTTAATTTACATAATATCACTCGACGCGAAGATGAAATAAATTACAACAATACGTTTACTGAATCCACAGGCCCGGTTTCTGAAGGACATAACTTCACGAATGAGGGAAATTCGCGTATGTTTGAAAATTTACAACAATCTGATCCCACTGTCAAGTGGCCAATATCCGATCAAAATTATCAAGACATAGAAGAATTTGATTTGTCGTATACGTGTAGTGATTGGGAACATCTTAATTCTGATGATGATTTTTCAAGAAACGATGTTGAAGATACAAACAGTTCACAAGCAGTCTACCAACAACGAAGATTACAAGATTGGTCGTTCCGCGAATCAGATTTAAGAAATACAAGTATGCCAGAACTCAGCTATGACACAAATTTTTCGGATTATAATGATTCAATGGATGACGATGAAAGTAGTTTCCGAAAAAATTAAAAACAAAATTGAAGAAAACATGTTTTATTAATTTATGTAATAAAATAAAACACACTAGTTTGTAATTATAATAGTTTAGATAAAATTTAAAGATACCTTAGGTATTCCATATTAAATTTAAATATACATGACGAAAATAAAATTACTTCACTACCCCGTTATTTTCTCTCTTCTTAATTAAACTTTAAAGGCAAGTCTTAGAAGATATAAGTACAGAACAATTTGCATTACTACGAACTAGTGATTTTTCTCCGTATTTTTGTTACTCCAAACTTGAAAAATTATTTGAAATAATTGTAATATCATACTATAATTTTATTTTCTTACATCATATTTAATTTACCTTCGATAGACAAATATATTTAAGTTATACAATTTTAACCATAATATGCTGATGTTCGTGGCAACAAAGTCTGAAATACTAGTTTTTTTTTTTAATAAATGTAATCTTTCATTAGAAAAATGATATAAATAATATTACAAATAGGTTTTATATATTAATGTGTTCTGAAAACTAAAAATCTTATCTTATTGCACATCTAAATTATAAATGAAGAACATTTGTGCATAATATCAAGATTATACGCCTATGATCATTAAACGATAGGTTACTTATTGGATCGAGGTAAGTAGGTCTTTTATTTAAAATCTAAAGTTATATGATGTATAAATATAATAATTTACAATGTATAAATAGGCATGCAAATTTTATCCAACAAAATCGATAAATAAATACAATTTAGTTTAAAAAAGTTAAAACAGTTTAAAAAACTACTTCATGCATATAGTACCGTATATGGCACGAATCATTTCTCGTAATTTTGAGATTCGTCACGAAAAATCAAACAATTTTTATGCTAGGTACATACATCTAGCGGTAAATTTTTAAATTTTAAACGAAAAATAAAAATCTGAAAAAGTTATTGTTGCATAAAGTGATAACCACATACTTGGTGTTATCATAACAAAATATTAATTCTAGCAATAAAAAAAAAAAAGCTGATACTGGGTATGGGAGCGGCCACTTTTGTTGGTGAGAAATTGGAAAAGTAGGATACATAAGGTTATTTCATATATATCTGTAAGCAACGATAAATTATTGCTTGACGAAAGACGATTCTGAGCGAAGATCAGTAATACATAATTTGAAGTGCCGTAATAATTTTTGCGATTTTCGTATAAATTTTAAAATGTAAAATTTAAAACGCATATTGAAAAATTAAAGTCATCCGATAATTTTGGAAATTTTATCACGTCTAGTACGGCGTATATCCAATACGTTATTTTTTGTCCAAGGCGTATAGCTTATGGCAAATTGATGATACGCGGGTTTACGGCCGTATCCACCGTGTATCCTATATGGAAATTATAAATACCTATTAAATATTTATATAAATTGTTGGAAAATATATTTTGATGAGCACGAGTTGTAATACAGGACGTAACACGTAATACGAAGATTTATTTTATTTTTACGAACAATTATTTTCATTTAAAAATTAAGGTTTTGTTATCAAACATTCGTAATCAAATTATCCATAAAGTAAATATGTTGTAAGGAGGACTTCGGTCGACCGAATCCCACTATCATTTATCATAAAATTAATATAATAATTTTGTATTCTTAATGAGATAACTCGTTGAGTGATAATGATTATAATATTAAACTTAATATTTTACTATTATATTTCGTACATTTTCCTGTTTTTCGTTCGTCTTTTCCGTTTTTCGCATTTGATGAGAATTCTTCTGTGAAAATCAAAAAATGATCTCCATAAAGTACCCCCCCCCCCAGTCCGATTTTCTTTCAGAACAAAATGCTATTATTATATTAAATCGGAGCAAGGGTTCTCGTATAAAAGTTGCGTAGAGATAAAATAAAAAACCATAAGCTTCTTCGGTGTACACGAAATCTAAAAGAGCTACTGGACGAGCGAGGGGAGAAAATTTGTTTTGGGCTCTACCTTTAGATCTCCATAATACACCTTACGTGAATAAAGCGTATAGAAACCGTTTCTTTCAGCTGATCAATGATCACAATGTCTATTATGTTTTATCCACTATGCAATTTATTTTTGATTTTATTATTTTTAAAAATATTATCATTTTCTTTAAAATGTTTTTTTATATATATTAATTCAACTAAATATTTCCTTGGTTCATTAATAGTTGGAATTAACGGTCCTTTTTGTCGTAAAAGTTCAAATAAATCTTCGTAAATCAAGTTTATTTTATTTTGTTCTTTCGATATATTACTAATTCCTATAAAATAATAATATATTATATTATGCACGTTGAAAATAAATAAAAAAAAAAGTAATAATAATACTACAATATAATGTAAACAAAATAAAAATATAATATAACGCTGTATACATTTAAAGAGCATATTATTTTATAAAAACCAGAATTTCCGGTGTTTTCGCCAATTTCCCCAAACTTAGCTCATGGACTTATGGATCTGAAAAGCTCGAAAGTTGTACTATAATTTATGTGAATCGTGAAATGACGATAAACAATAATTTATACGCTTTTGAACTTAATAAATTTAAAATAAAATACTTAAGATTTACAGATTCAAAATTGAATAATTTGTACGAATAAATTGTAATAGCTATAACAATGAACTTAATTTATTCTGAAGGTTATATACCTATACTTTCCCTTTTAAACGAGATTACCGTATGGCAATGAAACTGTTATCAATGCAATTTCATACACTATATGTATACTTTTCTGGGTATTTAATTAGGTTTGTGATGGGTAAAATGTATGATAAGCATCAAATTATCTCTAGTATACTTTTAACTATCAATAATTCTATAGCATAAATGATATTTGACATAATTTACAAATTTACTTTTAGGTAGGTAAGTTAAATTACGGTCGCTGCGTCTTGCCCGTGTTAAATAATCGTTTAAATACGTCTCCAACAACAGTAGTCATCGCCACCGGTTATTGCGTTGTGTTATCGCGTAACGCGGCTATGTTGTTCCCTAGATAGCATCGGTTTTCACACGGATTAGTAGAATTTAAAACGGCTGTTACTTAGAAATTATTTATCGGATAAAATGCGTGATATATTACAATTTTCAGAAAAATAATCTCTTTAGAGAATGGTTATCTTAACATTTTCCGAAAATAATAAAATAAAAAGTCAATTTTTTAATTTTTTTAATAAAAAAAAAATTCAATTCAAAAATAAATATTTGTAGTTCTTATCCCTATGAGTAACATAAAAAAAAAAACAACTTGGACAACTAGACAACTTTTTTACCAGTAATTTTGCTCCAATTTACAATGATAGCACTTTATATGGAACAAAATCTGACTGGAAAGGTACTTTAAGCCGGTTATTTTTCAATTTCGCTAAGAGCTTTCCCGGAAAATAAGAAAAACCGAGAAAAATCACGGGAAAACGTACAAAAAAAAAACAGGAAAATCGGTACAATATTAAACAAAGTATTAAAAAAAAAAAAAATGTATAATACCTATTTAATTATTTTATCATAATATGACCTATATATTGTTGACAAAGCATCACTATCAACTGAACTCCGCTGACAATTTTTTTTAGCCAGCAACGGTTTATCTTTGCTTACAAATACTAATTAATTTCCCCTATATGTTTTACCTTCTCAACTTTTCACAAAAACAACAGTGGGTGCACCCATCGCGCGAGTGTGTCCGTCTTTTCTGAATTGCCGGCAATATAAAATCTGATTACCGCTCATTTATTTGTTCCTTTATTACCACAGTTGTAAGCTAAATACCGCACATATATTCTACACGTATAATACACACCTACGTACTCACCGCACACTAGTGCCCATGGGTTTTTGGTCGGCGACCACGCCCACTTAATTTGAGACTCTATACACACATATTATAATATATATATATTTCATATATACAGGGCAGTTGGATAGTAACGGTGGTTGACGAACATATCGGTGACCGGATGTGCGTTTTATTATATTATATGCTACCGGCCCGTTAAGTTATCAATTTATCATTTAAAAATAGAAATATAGGTACGCAGTTTATCACCCTTCCACATTTCTCCGGTAAAAACTTTAAACGGTTATAATTCATAAGCGGTAAATCTGATATGTGTCATGAACACAAACGTTTCTAAAAAAATATTCTCTATTCGAATCCAATCCTAATCCTTAGGGGTTCCGGCTACATGAAACAAATGAGTATGTACTTAATTAAAGTATATAGAATAGGAGTAAAATATTAAAAACGGTTTTAGAATAAAGCTAAACTGATACCACAATGGTTAAAAAAAAAAAAAAACAAAAATCAAATTCACATAAAATCCTTCGCGAAAATTGCTGGTTCGTGATGAATTAAATCACTCTATATACAAATTTTAGAACACACTTCATTTTGGTTTTAAAATAAAATCATATACTATAAAATTAAAATAGGATACTATATCGCCGAAAATTAGAAAGGGGGTTAAGGTAAGAATTTTTTCAGAAGAGGCGAGGCGGAACATAGTCACAGCATTATATTGGATACAGATGCCACCCACGCGCGAGTGGGGAGAAGGCAGCTGCAGTAGCAGGACGCATGGCTGGTCGAGGGGGGGAGAGGGCAAACACGCCCCCGTAGTCAAGGGGAGGTCGGTTAGCCGATCATCGTGGCTGCGGAGGGGGGCAAGTTTTTCGGTGTGCTGGGCGTGCGCTCGCGTGATCTCGTAAATCGCTCACGTGCATGACCGTCCATGTACTTAAAACGGCGACGCCGCACGTGAGACAATCCTATTTTCACCCCTTAATTCCTTCTATCTTCTTTAATTCTCGGCATTCCCGGTTATCTAGGTGCCCCCCCCCCCGGTAAACTATGCACTTATAATATACAGGGTGCAGTGTATCATGAAGACATTCCTCGTTCACGTCGAGACGTACGCGAATTCGTGCGACGTTCAAAAATGACAATTCCTCGTGACGCACCCTGTGTCTACTGTAATTTATATAATTTATATTAACTTATATTTATAAACAAAGACACTGCCGCCCATCACTCAAGTGCGTAGGGGTGCAAAACGATTTCGTAGCGTTTGGTTGGCCAATCGGTAGAATAGTACCGTATCCTATTTAAATTTTTCCTGTCCCCCTCCCCCCTCAGTTCCGGGAAACGTTAGGCGGCAGAGGTCAAATTTGCGTGTCCTTTGCCAAACGGCAATAAATTTGCCACGTGCCACGCGTTCGCGTGCAAATTGTGTTGCCAGCCGTCCGCGCCGCCACTGGGCACACGCGCACACCACACAATCCGTTTTACACGTGATGTTCAGCGTCGTAGCTTACGAAGATACTACTACAACAGACAGATCAATACACGACACACGTACATTAAACAACCAAACCTCAAAAACTACACGACATAATGCATGGTGATTTTTTTTAACATGAACTAGCATTATCTCGCAGTGTTTTAATTGAATTTAATTTAAACCTCTATTTTATAACCATTTTTAAGTTTTTACTCCTACTCCGGGCAATTTATTACACTTTCCTACACCCAAGGTCTAAACTTTAAACCGTTATAATCTATAAACAGTAAATTTATTATCAATTTGCTCACACGCAATTTACGATTTGAATTATAAATACACCATAGAATACATTAAAAACTCATACTGTTGTCCGTTAACGAAATTTTAAAATTATCATAATTACTATTTAATTACCAATGGAAGTTTTCATCAGAGCCGTGTGTCGTGCGAACGACGGCATAGTGTTAAACGATAATGGTACGGTTGTTTATTGCAAACGCGATGGCTAGTACAAATCATCATTATATACAGCACCAGGAACTCAAAAAGCATTACACAGAGATTCTAAATCTTCTTCGGAAGGTGGATCAAAAAAATGAAAAACATCCAATATTTTAATTTAAATCAGTGTATTCATTTCGATTTATTTTAAATTAATTATTTATGAGCACAGGCCACAGAATGTATTTCAATAATCGTTATCTTACATTTACAACCACCATTGTAACAGTGCGATTGGTACATATCAATAACATTTGTTTTGAAGTGGTACATCGAAACGTTATCACGACATTTTTACACTTTGGTGTACACGCTATTACATTAACTTTTTCAAACGAACAGACCGATTAAAGTTCGCGTTATATAAACGAAACTTTATTTTTTATTTGCCGATAACGAAGCAAACTAATAATAGTAATGCAGTCACATAGTAATAATTTTAAACAACGGTATGCGTCAATCGTAAATTGCACGCAATAATAAAATGTTTCAAGGATGTTTTTAATTTTTTCTACAACGGCTATTTAATATTATAAAATTAGTACTCAACATCTTACTGTGGCAATGTCGTCAGGTGTCATAATCGCGGGCACGTAACGATTAAATAACCATCTTGTACATAATAATATTATCTCCGTCGTCGACATAGAATTCGATACTTTCATTCATACTTTTAGATTCAGAGCGTAGCGAAGAAAACATTCGTTTTACAAAGATATATTTATTTTTTTTTTCTGAGCATTTTTCTACTGAAAATCTCGCTCTGATGCAATGGCGATTTTGATAAAACACCAAGGGGGAGGGGGTGGTTTTACATTTTTGTTGGGCTCCATACGTTAAGAACATAAATCAAAAAAAAAGGATAAAATTTGCTTATGGTGCTATCATAAATTACACGTAATTTTCATTTTAGATTCTGAGTGGAGCGAAAAAGCTTATGATTTTATAACACTGTTTTATCTGTGGACAACATTTCTACCAGAGATCTTGCTCCGACGTATGCGATGTAGTGATTTTTCTAATTGGAAATTTTGTTAGGGAGGTACTTTAGGAAGGTAATTTTTTCGATTTTCTCCAGAGTTTTCCCAGCAAATGTGAAAAACTGGAAAAACATCGGAAAATCGGTAAAATATTAAACAAATATTATTAAAGAAAATATATAATGCCTATTTAATTATTTTACCATAATATGACATACATATATATTGTTGATAAAGCATCACTATCAACTGAATTCCACTCAGAATAGTTTTTTCGTATAGCAATGGCCTATCGTTGTTTATGTACAGAACATACATAAAAGTTGACAAAAAAGTGAAATTCAGGAGGGGTCCCTTCTCTAAAAACCGCCACTGCTCCGATGTATTTAGTGTAGCACTCATGTAGCACATTCCTCTCTATATTCCACAACATATTCTGTAACATATAGATGATTCTATAAATAAACTCACTTGTTTTGTGTATTTCGTAACTCATCATTTTCTTCCACATAATATTATGTAAGTATTAATTATTATTGATTTATTGTTTAATTTTGGAATTTGTTAATTTATAAAATATTATACATACTTAGTAATAAATACACAGTTTTTCTTATTTATCGTATTCGTTTAATACCATATCTCTTTTTTTAATATTGCCGCTCGTGTTTAATAAACAACATAAACACAGTTATATTTAATCGGTCATCGTATTCGAATACTACTCGTCGAGGAGATCAAAAAAAGAAAAACATTTTTAAATGTGTGTTTTTATTACTGTATTAAAGTTAATACATTATAATTGTATACATAAGTTTAAAGAAAATTCGCGCTCTTGAATTCGAATGGAAATCAATTTTAAAGGGGGACGCATAATATTATATTTAAAATAACAATAAAAGTTCTATTCACTGAAAGCGAAACAGCTGTCTGCGTGCGTATGTTACGATTTCGCAAGATGTATTCATGAATTCCTGAATACTATCACAATTATTCTCTCTTTTTTATTATTATTGTTATTTTTTTATATTAGAAACTTAAACTTTTCCTTGGCAACAAAATGTTTTCCCCCTACGCGATGCAACGTGACCGGCGGGAGTGGTGTACGTGTTTGAATCTTCTATATATGTATATTGCAATATACACAAATGTTTAGACATATTTATGTATAATATGCTCTGTAAAGTCAACGTATTAAAACTAACACTTGATCAAACATTCCTCTATTATTATTGTTAACTTATTCGGATTCGCGTACTTAAAAAGAAATAGGTGCATGGTATATAATTCTGGTATGTGTAGTTCTAAAATTAGGCAAGTCCCTGAAGGCACAGTTACGTGTGACCTGTTTTTGAACGATGGTTTATCCTTACACACCGGCAAAAAAAAAACGAACACATTACAGACTAAAATGCATACAAAACAACCAAAACATTACCGTTTAGCTGTTGTTCAACCTCAAAAAATGTTAACAGTTTCTCCCTCTGTTTAATTCAATAGAACTCATAGCTGGACTCATTACCGTGTCAGAGAGTGATTTATTATTAAATAATCATCTGGGATATGGATATGGACAAAAAGATTATAATATAAAGAATGGACCGTCATGGCGTCATATTACTGAAATACATCCCTCAAGATTTTCTATACGAACCGTCAATTTATGAAACAAAAGGATAATCGAGTTTTGTTCTATATCAGAATCTCAGAATTTTCGGCAATCCCCTACGATTACAATTTACACTATATATTTAGTGCCAATCTGGTGATCATAAATTTAGTTGTTTTTTTATAAAACACCCTTCTGGAATAACAGTATATATATATGTTGTCTAATAAATACATGGATTTATTATAAAACGGATACTAATAAATAATAATGTATATCAATCCCTTTCCCACGTGATTTTTTTTTTATTTTTTCCCCAAAAAATCTACGGATCGTAAAATACTTCTGGATTATGGGATAAATATTTGTAAACAAATCTAAGTTTAACTTTCCCTAAAAGTTGACCAAAGATTAATTTGTGTCGAATATGTGTAATAAATATTATGGCGCAAACATGCTCAACAAAAAACTAATTTTAATTAATGAGAGTCTGTTTTTGTCGACAATACTTAATAATATTGTTAAAATTGTAAACAAGCATATTGTTTCTAACTACCTTTGGTCTTCATATACACCAAATGGTCTAAAAAATTACGGACTATTTGAGAGGAAAAAATTAATAATTCAAAATAAGTTATCATACTACGGACTCTATAGGTTTTTTTTCCCTAATAGACTGATTTATCGAATGAATTTATTATGTACGAATTCTCGTGGCGAATTCTAAGCCGTTCCTGTATAGTTATATATCGGGTCGAATTAACGGCAGTAAAAAATGATTACGACCCACGTCTGTCTAGCAACGCGTCGTGTAATATACCGGTCATTAAAGGTCTTAAAACTTGTCTGGTCGTTTTAATGAGCTCCGTTAGAAACGAGTATAATAATGGATGACACGAAAAGGGGAAAGTTTTTTTTTTTCGAGAGTCATAAAAATAAAACCCCGCAGATACGAGTGAATAAAACAAACGGACAAACTTCGCACAATGAGTTGGCCACTGTTGTAGATGAGAAGTTTGTAAGGTAGGGGAAAAATTGTGTACTTGTACGCGACGATTAACCAATACTAACGAAAAACGATTCTGAGCGGAATTCAGTTATACATATTTAAAAGGCCGTTATATTTACGATTTAAAAAATAATACATTTCGTGAATTATCTATACATTTGATTGTTTTTCCTACATTTTTTCCCGTAAAATTTCCTTTCAGAAAAAGTGTTGAAAATCTTGAAAATCAGAGCAAAATTTCTGGTTGTTTACAGAAAAATATTAACGTCATTGTAAAGCCAATACATTAATCGCTCCGTTCAGAATCTAGAACATAACTCCAGGTTAAGTTTTTTCTTCGTATTTTATAAATTTTATTTGTATTCCGTATTATATTACAGCCACTGTTATAGGTAATTTAATTATACCTGTAAGTAACGATAAACTATTCCTAACGAAAAACAATTTTGAGTGGAGTTCAATTGATAATGATGCATTGTCCACAATATTTATGTCATATAATAGTAAAATAATTAAATAGGCATTCTATATTTTCTTTAATAACATTTGTTTAATATTGTACTCATTTTTCCGTTTTTTTTTTAGGTTTTTCTCATTTGCTGGGAAAACTTTTGGCAAAATCGAAAAATTACCTTCTTAAATTACCTTTCCTGTAAGATTTCTTTTTAGTAAAATGACTGTAATTGTAAATCGAAGCCAAATTGCTTGTAAAAAAGTTGTCCATGGGAAAAAACAAGGCAGAAATATTTGTTTAATTAAATTTTACATTTCGTACATTTTCCCGTTTTTACTCTGTTTTTTCGGTTTTTCACATTTGTTGAGAAAACTCATAGGAATATCGAAAAATGATTTCCTTAAAGTACCTTCACCCCCCCCCCCCCCCAGTTTGATTTCCTTTTAGAAAAGTCGCAACACTTAAAAATTTTGGCATTTCCGTAGGCCGTATGTTAGTGTTTAATTTAATATTGCGCGGAATTCACAATTTAATTGCGTGTATGCGTTTGTGTGTTAATTGTTATAGCGACGACCGTTCTTACAGAAATAACACGGATATTATTGCTGGTTTGAAATAATTCTATCGGAAATACCGTTGGATAGTTAAATACACAAACAAATCAACTGTTGCATCGTGGATACGGTCGCCGGAAAAGTTAACGAGGGCCCGGCAACCGAGTAAACAACCTCAGTATGCGATCCGAACAAATAGGTAAGAATAATATTAATTAAGAATATCAAATTTAAAGTTCAATATACCTAATAGTATAGTTTTTGTTTTTGTTTTTTTTTTTTTAGCCTTTTGATTCTCCTGCACATTCGTGCGAGTCATCGTCCTCGTATATCTTGCAATACTATGATCAACATGATGTTCACCGTGGTTTCGTTAATAGAGAGCATGCTTTTCACGGCGATCTTGATGTTACTGGTACTGTGTTGGCTAAGCGAAGCAAATACGAACATCGCCGTCGGAGTGTGGAACGCAATCGTTCCATTAAGGTACGCGCGTATATCCGAAAAAACCGTTTTGTGTTGTTTTTTTGTCCGTTTTAAAATGAGTAATCGGTGTCTTACACCGGGCGAGTCTACGCCAATGGAGAACCGCGCCTCGTCACCGTCGCTCGTCGGCGAATAAAGCCGACGACCGCGGTCCGCCTTTGCCGTCACCCGCCGGCTGTTTTCCTATGAGACATATACGTGAACATTATCGTTTCCCGTGCCCGCGGCCGAGCTGGATTTTTATTCGGGTTTTAATAGCGCGGCGTAGGTACCTGCGGTTTTATTCGCTGACGAACGGCGCGTGTAAATTCGCCAAACGTTATCCGGACGTTACTGCTAAATGCAGATGTAGCCGATATTGTACGGATATTTTGATCTATGTTAACTGTCTAGGTATAAAATATACATTTTTAGTCGGCATCTAATGACCGATTCATCATCGCTCGACCCGAACCGCCGCCGGATCTAGAAACTCGAAATTCAGCACGGAAGTTTATTATATTCCGTACAACGATAATATATAAGGCAACTTTATACTATACGTTATGGAAACTACGAAGGATTTTTAGAAATTCGACCACCGATAACCGGCGCTCGCACATACGTTTTATTCCTTAAAATACGGAAAATTCGATTTTTCTTTTTTCTGTTTACTTCCGGATTCTACTTTTTTTATGCACGTGAGAAGAAAACCGTACTGTTTTCATTTTGTCACACTTTTTTAATTCGAGTGCCGTAAAATAATCGAAATTTCGATGATCCGGCAAGAAACAAACGGTTAGTAATGATATTATCCCGAAAAAATATATGTTATAAAATACAGAAATTAATATTGTTTTTTTTGTCTAATATCCTTCTGTGTTACACGAGAGAACTAATCAAATTTAATTTATAAATATATTAATGAAAACTTCTACATGTTTCTAAACGGAAAGTTCGATCTCAATTGTCCGGAGTTTACTTCGAGAATACCTGCTCGATTTGCGTCCTTACTAATTATATATATGATAATATTTTAAGTTTGTTAGAAATTATTGTAATACATATTAGATTTATGAGTTTTTAATTTAATTACAGAAACGTTTATCGAGTGATAATAAAGAACGAGTGCACCATGGCCAAAAACGAGGATCCGGATGTCGAAGAACCCGAATCAGCGGATTCTTCCGATAATCGTGCTCGTCATCAAATTTCGAGTTTTTTGACAGCTGACCTCATTCTGCCATCGTTCCCCCTCTACGTTTGGTCTTCACAGTCGGGAGACAATGCCGCCCAAAGTATCGGTAAATATACATTCTAGGATAGACTTCTGTAAAAACACTATGACAAATAACCACCTGTCTCCTAATAAATTATTTTTTATTTGATGTAGACGAATCCTGCATGGAAAGCATAATTCGAGTGGTGAATTTTACAATTAGAGGGGCCCAACCCGTCGAAAAAGCTCT